TACTTTTGTATTTTGGAGTGCAAACTTCATTGTTTTTTAGTTGAATGACTTGATGCTTATTGCTTTGCTGTGCCAGTTTTAGATGACCCTTGTCCAGTATTTTCTTAAGGCTGAGGTGTGTTCTTGATACTGTGTTGTTCGTATGCCTCTGTTGTAAGAGCTAAATGCAGTAAAACAAGTATGTGTTAATCTGTCATTTTTATTGCTTATCAAAGATAAAATCTAATTTTCAAGGGAACAGTTTGCTTAGAAGGACAGACTTTTTTCCTAGAATTTCCTAGAAGTTGTGAAGGACAGTTTTCCTAGAATTTCCTAGAAGTTGTGAAGGACAGTTTTCCTAAAAGTTGTGAAGGACAGTTTTCCTATAGCTAGAAGTTGTGAAGGACAGTTTTCCTAGTTGGTTTGGTGTGGGTCAGTATCCTTTAGAACAGTTTACCTAAGTACAGTTTGGGGCAGTTTTGCCAGGTCGGTAGGTGTGCAGTGTGGGGCAGTTTACCACTGAACAGTTTACCTAAGAGGGTTTTGGGGCACTATATAGGTGTATGGTGTGGTGTGGGTTGTGGTGGCCTAGCGTGGCGTGGCGTATGTGTGCATGGCATGACGTGGCGTGGCGTGGGGCACTATATGGTATGGGTGTGGTGCATGGCGTGTTGGTGGTGGTATGAGGGTGTGGGTCAGTCTCCCCAAGAACAGTTTTGTAAGTGCAGTTTGAGGCAGTTTTCCTAGGTTTGTGGTGTGGTGTGGTGTGGTGTGTTTCGGTGTGTTTCTAAAGGGACAGTTTTGGGATGGTTTGGGACAGTTTTGGGATGGTTTGGGACAGTTTTGGGATGGTTTGGGACAGTTTTGCCTTATGGAACAGGGCCTTTTATATTTTTTGTGCACACTTTGTTTTTGTTCAGCTTCAGTGACCTGAATGTAGAGTCAATTTCACATGACCCAGCCAAGCATTTCCATAAGGCTGAGATGTGTTGTGTTACTTGATACCATGCTGTTTGTAGGCCTCTATTGTAACAGCGAAATGCAGCAGAAACAAGTCTCTGTACTGTGGTAATCTGTCATCTTATGTTTTTGTTGTCTGATCCCCAGGTCATCGTTTTTGTATTTTTGGGAAGCCATTCGAAATATAAACAGCGAACTGATTGCAGGATTCCCCATTAAACTGAACAAATGGAACAGTAATCCCTTCAGCATAAACTCATGACGTCATTTTCAAAACTTACTGGGGCACATTCTGAGAGATGATATAAACTTATAACCTGATACGATGCTGAATCACCACCCACAAGTAACATTAGCTACACGCAGAATTCCTTGCATGGCGTCTTTGTGAAATGTAACGTTATGCGTTTCAGCTATAACTTCCATGTGATATATTTAGTCTTGACAGCTTGTTTGTGATCACTGCTGTTACAATGTCACTTCAAGGTACTTTTTTTTTAGAATCAAGATTCAGCTTCTTCACTGAAAATGAGTTGCCTACCATTGATATAGTTTGGAATCCCTACCAATAGCTGTCTGATGGTCAAGTGTTTTGTGTCAACAATTTTGCAAGGTTCTAACTAAAATGTTCAAACAAATGGCAGAGCTCAATTTAAGGTTGGTTGGTTTGTTGTTAAACACTCAGCAATACTGCAGCTATATGGCAGCGGTCTGTAAATAATCGAGTCTGAACTAGACAATCTAGTGATCAACATCATGAGCATCGATCTACAGAATTGGATACGCATGACATGTGTCAACCAAGTTAGCAAGCCTGACCACCTATCACGTTAGTCGCCTTTTATGACAAGCATGGTTTGAAGAAGACCAATTCTAATCCAGATGTTCACGGATATCAATTTAAGGAAATAAAAGCTACTTACACTCAGTGCAACCTTAGGTAATAACCTTGTTGCACCAGATAACAGGTTGCACCTGCTGCTCAATAACAAAATATACATAATGCTTGAGTTTGGGTATTGATGATTTAGATCACCATTATGATAAAATTATTCTGGGTCTGATAGATCATTTTTCTACTTCATTAAATTTCATGACATGAACAGTAAAAGTCATTCAAATTACTGTCTGTGTAGTCATCAGTCACTGCTCCAAGCCACTTCCTCATCAGTCTGTGTTCTTTGAACAGAAAAATGTTAACACGCAGTGGGTGCTAGAGGTGGGTGATAATATTATTAACCGGTATGTTGCAATTCAAACTACACAATACGATATATTGCGGTCAGGGGTGGAAATAACCCATTGCCCGACGTCCGAGTCCAGTGTTTTTTTCTGTCGGGCAAGCAAATTTGTATATCATACTGTACCGGTGTCCAGTTGACTTTCCAATGTTAATTATGTTGTTTATTTTAAAAATCAGCAAGAAAACGGTCGGTATACTGGAAAAAATATCAGGGCAAGTGACTTTACATGTGCCACTATACCGGAGTACACTATCAATTTTAAAGTTATTTCCACCCCTGGCGGTACACTTTTCGCGAACCGGTTCACCCGATACGATCGGCAATATCCATGACCGTGATTGGTAATTTTCATGATGTAGTAAAAAATACAAATAACATTTGTATTTCCTTCATATTATTATACATTGATAATTTTGAGAATTTATATTGGTCATATAATTGCATTTGCATGACTTTTAAACCATATAAATAAAAAACATAGATTGGAACGGCCCTCGTTGTAGGGATAAACAAACCAAAATGGCGGATGCCGCTGCAGACGCGTTTTCTCAAGTTCCAAAGCGAAGTCTTCAATTTGGAAACATTTTCAACTGATCTATTGTACAAACACATCTGAGTCCTGCCAGTGGCCAGTGGTATTGTTTCATTACCTTAAACCATGTGTTACACCTTCACAACATATTGCAATACATGTTGCAATACGCCAACACATATCACACTATATCACAACACGAAAATTTAGGCGATACCCAACCTAGTGGGTGTAAGTTGGTAAAACTATGACATTGCATTTTGCACATACACATATTGCACCAGTGCAAGTTCCAAATGCATAAATCAAGCCCTGAATGGTCTTCAGTACTTTAAAGTTGATTTACCAGACTAATAAATGCATATTGTACTAGAGATGTGTATTATTTGTCTTGTTGTTATTACAATATCAGACTATGAACGTATCAGTTGGAGTGATCGAGTTGGTTTTTATGCCCCTTTCAGCAATATTCCTGAGATATCAGTGTACTATCACAGCAGTATCAGTTGAATGGTTTGATCAATATCTGTACCCCTCTAAACATACTAATATAAATATACTGCTCAAAGAAGTTAAGGAACATTGAATTCTTTTATGTTGCTGTATTTTATCTGTCATGCAATGAGTCACATATTAAATGATAGGCTGACACACTGAAATGTGGATAAAGTTCTGTGTTTATAAATCATGAAGAAATGGGAAATATATATTTGAAAATTGTACTATTATTTGTTGCAGACTTGACTCAAATATTGGCCTCTAGACAAGTCGAAATATATCCCAGATACATATCTATAGCATGGATAAATATATTGATGTTTGCAACACTGACAACATACTAAGACAGATATACTATTCAAAAGAAGTTAAGAACATTTGATTCTTTCATAGCATGACGTGGTATGAAGGAATCTGGTGTTCTTGAACCCTTTTGTGTAGTATATATTGCTATAAAGTATATATTGCTATAAAGTATATATTGCTATAGAGTATATATTGCTATGAAGTATGTATTGCTATAGAGTATATATTGCTATAAGTATTTATATATTGCTATAGAGTATATATAGCTATGAAGTATATATTACAGTATATATTGCTATAAAGTATATATTGCTATAGAGTATATATTGCTTTATAGTATATATGGCTATGAAGTATATATTGCTATAGAGTATATATTGCTATAAAGTATATATTGCTGTAGAGTATATATTGCTATAAAGTATATATTGCTATATTGCTATAAAGTATATATTGCTATGAAGTATGTATTGCTATAGAGTATATATTGCTATAAGTATTTATATATTGCTATAGAGTATATATAGCTATGAAGTATATATTACAGTATATATTGCTATAAAGTATATATTGCTATAGAGTATATATTGCTTTATAGTATATATGGCTATGAAGTATATATTGCTATAGAGTATATATTGCTATAAAGTATATATTGCTATAGAGTATATATTGCTATAGAGAATATATTGCTATAATATATGTATTGCTGTAGATTATATATTGCTATAAAGTATATATGCTATAAAGTGTATTGCTATAGAGTATATATTGCTATAATGTGTATTGCTATAGAGTATATATTGCTATTAAGTATATATTGCTATAGAATATATATAGCTATGAAGTATATATTGCTATAAAGTTTATATTGTTATAAAGTATATATTGCTAAAAAGTGAAGAGCTGACATACTGTCTTCATCTGGCGTGGTTTATTTTTTAACATCACGTTATAACAGTCCCATCTTCCGACAAGCATGGGTTGTTGTTGGCCAATATCATTACCAGGAATCTCCATTGGTGCTGACTCCTCAGAAAGCATACTGCTGGTTTCTTCAGTGTTCATTGTCATGTTTTCAGGCGCCATTTTGGGTCTCCACATCTTTAGTGTAAAGGATACTGTTGGTCTATTCAATATTTGATCTTTTCAGGGTCAACCAAAATTTTTCAGGTGCAATTTTGGGTCTCAATGTATTTGTGTAAAGGATACTCTCTGTCTATTCAATATTTTATCTGTTAAGGTTCAACCAAAACTTTTCAGGTGCCATTTTGGAGCTCCACATGTTCGTGTAAAGGATACTGTCCGTCAATAAAATATTTTATCTTTTCAGGGTCAATTGAAAGTTTTGAGGCACCGTTTGGAGGCTCCACATCTTTCTATAAAGGATACTGTTTGTCTGTCCAATACTTTGTCTTTTCAGGTGCCATTTGGATCTCCACAACTGTCTGTCTCTTCAATATTTTATCTTGTCTTTGCAGGGTCAACCGAAAGTTTTGAAGCACCGTTTTCAGGCTCTACGTCGGATCCCAGCAAATTTGCCTTGGCGTTCTACTCAGGGTTATTTTCCTACTCAGGATGGTGAGTAAATGTCAATGCCGGTCAATGCGGGGCGCAAACATTCGTCTGATTAATGGCAGAAATTGACCAATTGTCTCCTGCATTCCTCACGCCAGATAGGTCACATCCCAGTTGTAATACTTCAACTGCTGTTTGCTTATACTGGTGTGAGAATTAGTTTTATGGCAAGCACTATAGGAGTAAATAAAGTAGAAGGGGAGATGTTGAGGAGGATAGGGATGGCATGACAACTTTTAAATACGATCTGAGATAAAATAAGGACCTTTCAATTGAAAGGAGAATCAAACTTGTAGAGAACCTGTCCTTATTGTCCTGCGGAATAGGATCATATGTTGGACGTTTCAGTCATCTCTCAGACCATTCTCAACAGGGGTGGAAATAACCCATTGCCCGATGCCCGAGTCCAGTGTTTTTTTCTGTCGGGCAAAGAAATTTGTATATCACACTGTACCGGTGTCCAGTTGATATTCCAATGTTAATTATGTTGTTTATTTAAAAAATCAACAAGAAAACGGTCGGTATACTGGAAAAATTATCAGGGCAAGTGATTTTACATGTGCCACTGTACCGGAGTACACTAGCAATTTTAAAGTTATTTCCACCCTGCTCAAAGACCTACATTTGGCCTCACTGCAGTCTAGAGCAAATGTTCACAAAATATGCTGTATTGGAAGTTTTGATTTGTTTATTTAGTTATGATAAATAATGATAGTGTTTAGCAAAGATAACTTTTTTCAGTTAATATCAGAAATAAGAAATACTTAGCTTCACAGTTTTTGCAGTTTTGTTTTGTTTTTGTTGTTTAATGTCGCACTCAGCAATATTCCAGCTATATGGCGGCGGTCTGTAAATTATTGCGTCTGGACCAGACAATCAAGTGATCAACAGCATGAGCATCTATATAAGCAATTTGGATGGAATGACATATGTCAACCAAGTCAGCGAGCCTGACCACCCGATCCCGTTAGTCACCTGTTATGACAAGTATGGGTTACTGAAGACCGATTCTAACCTGGATCATCACGCGTCCCATCAGTAAGAGGGCAAGGGCCACCCTGTAACACATTGTGTAGATTGAGGCCAGGTGTTAGAATGCTTTTACTGCTTGGCAGCCCACCACCATGAGTGGGAGTAAGTGAATAATCATTAAGGTAAACAGACATTCAGCTTCCTGTGTCATCGCTAATGCATCGGGCTATGCAGGAATCTTGGACATCACACAAGGTATCTTGACAGACAAATTGGGAAAATATGCCATGTTAAGATGTTGGGTTGGGTTTAATTTTCATGATTTCTGAATCTGAGCGTGTTTGAAGATTGCATTATGCAATATGACACAAAGTAGGTTGAAAACATCAGGTGAATGTTGAGTCATCCACAGACTGACTGATTATTCACCTGAAGAAACAACAAGAATTAGTTCTGAAACATTGTATAAAGAATATAAAGAAGTTGTTATCCGTAAAATGTGTCATGTCTTCATGTTCGTCCAACTTCTAAACGCCTTTCAAGAACTTTATCATTGAGTCTCAACTAAATCTTTGTGAACCCATGCTTAACCAAGACGCAACATGCATGGGTGTTTGTTCATCCTTGTTGACTTGGTTGCAGCATGTCATCATATCCCAGTTGTGTAAGTCTATGTTTATGACAATCACTGGGTTGTCTGGTCCATACCTGATTATTTACAAACTGTCTTCATGTAGGCTGAATACAGAGATGCCAACCACTCCGATTTTGGATGAATTACTCCAAGTTTCAAATACAAAATCCACTCTCCTATTTGTCTATAAAAAACTCAGATTTAAAAAAAAATTACAAATATGTTTATGAATTTAGAAAGTTTGATTTTTCTCTAGTAAATAGCCATTTAAATATGTTCATTTGAGTTAAGTATTATCTGGTTAAGTGTGCCTAGAAATGGCATATTTCCATGCTAAATCTAAAGATTTTCACAGGGGAGGCCCCCCTAGAACTCTACTGTCATAAGGGTCCCGAGCCCCCTCTCACGCTCACCCACAACTCGCACCTTCAGGGCTCGGGAATTGCTTTTAGCAAGACATGACTCCGCTTTCATTTGATTCAGGGTTGGCATCTCTGAATATTCCTTCGTGTGGCGTTAAACAACAATTAACTCATAAATGTTTATGCATAATAACGTGAGTGAGTAGAGAGATAAAGTGGGAAATGTTTGGGAAGACTTCACCACATTTTACTAGGACAATTAACCTATGGCTTATCTCCCTTTAATAAATTGGGGCCTGGGGTAGCCCAGTGGTACAAGCGCTGCTTGTCACCCATAAGACCCAGGGTTTGATTCTCCACATGGGTACAATGTGTGAAGCCCATTTCTGGTGTCTCCGCTGTAATATTGCTGAAATATTGCTAAAAGCTACGTAAAACTAAACTCACAAACTCAGCTTTAATAAATCAAAGCGACAAAACCAAAAAAGCTGTTTACTGTTTCATTATACAATGAAAGCAGTTGACACAATCTGTCGCTGAGAGGTCAGGTTACAAGCACCAATACAGTCGGTATATTCAAGGGAAGCAGGTGGTACATAATGCAGATGGATCTTGCTAATGCCTCTGTAACAGCAACGGTATGTTGTTTTCCAATGGCCATGTACTAAGGAAACCACTCATAGATACACCAGTACACGCTGGCTAATGTAGAGAGACAGTCTGATATAAATCTGCATGTTTAAGACATATGGTTTTGTTACTCAGCTTTAGGGTTAAACGAAGGGCATTTCACTGTCAAGCATATTTCAGCATCAACATTTCTTATCCAACATATACTCATGGAAACTAATAAGGGAACACAGGAAAGTACAAGTGTTCCTTTATTCTTTTCCAGGTTTCTTCACAAGGTATGCATTGCACTGTGAGTAAAATTCTGGACATAAATAAAGGAACACTTGTACTTTCATGTGTTCCCTTATTCGTTTCTATGAGTATATTTGTATCCACTTTAATCATTGTTGACCAGCAATTGCATAAAAGTTTGTATCAAAATAAAGTTTTCTATTACAAATAGAAGTGAGTTAAATTTATCACTGTTTGAACAGCAAGTCATTGTATGACCATTGATGACGAGTCATGGTAATGGCAGGAAAACAAAATGGTCATAGATGTTTCACACATCAAGGCTTATCTAGAAATCCATCCCACAATGACTGACCGAAAATGTTTTTTGCTGAACCCGTTTCACAATCAAATAAAATCAGATGAAGAAATCATGGGATTTCATCACCACTGTTCATGACAAATTGTGTGTAACAATATTTTCCTAACAAAAGTGTATATTACACTATACATGGTGGTAGAGCGAACTGTATTTCTTTTCTAAGATGCCAAATTTAATTCTTTCTAAGGATAATTACGATTAATCTAAGGCAGAAAACAAACGACGGTGTCGGTGACCTAAATTAAGAATCCTCGCACAGGGCTAACTGGCACGCTGTTCTATAGATGTGTCTGCCCCCCTACGTTAAAGTGAACGTTACCAGAAAAAAAATGAAAAACAGTTTGATGATGGTTTACGTTCGGGATTAAATATCTTCTCTACAATATTTTAATTATATCTGTGATTAACATAAACCATATAGGGCAATATGAACATCGCATTGCTACTACCAACGTAAGATTAGATCAGGACATCCAGATGAAGCTGAGTAGTCAAGCGACATTCCACGATTGCTTTGTAGGAATGTAAACATTGCGAACGTTACCGTGTCGCTGAAAACTTGTGAGTCGAATGGAGACATTTTAACCGTTGGAAAACATAAACGTAATGTTTCCACCAGTATTGTTAGCTGCGTGAAGCTGTATGAGGCGATGACAACTGACATGCATCGTGACGTCGCTTACATTGTGACGTAATGCAAAATAGTTCTATTACGAGGGGGGAGACTAGAATGGCATTGTGACGTAATGCAAAAAGTGCACATTATCGTCTGATAAAGTACTGTCGGCACCTTTGATCTTTCACCGAAGCATCTTAGAAAGATTAAGAATCCTGGTTTGAGAAAGGAACATTTGCGAGTCATAATGAGATACTTTAACTGAAGCACTATAAATTTATACTTAAATCCAGACAAATTGACGGAATGGAATGGTATTGTTCAAGCATGAGGTTTCACCATGGTTACTGAGGTTCCAGGTATTGTTTGAGGCCAGCTAGTGTGGTGATACATAGAAGACATTCCTCGTAATACATGTATAAAACATATAATGTCTTGACACCGAATATTCACTGATTCTTTCCATGTTTCTTTTCAGGAGTTATTTGAACTTTGTCACGGAAGAACTGAAAGATCCATACAAGTAAGCAATTTTTTCATAATAAATAATGATAATAATGCTAGTTTTGAGCATGTGTAATGTAGTAGCGGTGGGGTAGCCTAGTGGTTAAGGTGTTCGCTCGTCACGGCGAAGACCCGGGTTTGATTCCCCACATGGGCACATTGTGTGAAGCCCATTTCTGGTGTCCCCTGCCGTGATACTGCTGGAATATTGCTAAAAGCGGCATCAAACTAAACTCACTCACTCATATTTCATTGTCAGCTCCCTGGGGAGCATACGGACCAAGCTGTCTGTGATGTGTTAGGTTAATAGGCACATTATTGTCTCAGCAAAGCAGGAATCCAATCATTGTTCGGTGAAGAAGCAGGGTACGATTTCGGTTTTTGCGCCCCTACATTCGGGTATTACCCTGACACCAGTCGATTTGGGTGACCTTGACCTTATCTTCAAGGTCACCACCACACTTTGAACACTTTTCAAACTTATGTAAACGCGATATCTCATAAAACATTGCACCCAATGTCTTCAATTATGTCGACAGCCTACATTGGGTGATTATGCAGACACCAGTCATTTCAGGCATCTTGTATGTGACCAAAAAATTAAAAAGTAGTAAATATGTTATAAATATTCCATATCTAGTGGCGGGGGACATTGCCATATCAGTGGCAAACTCTAGTTTTTTCAGTACCAGCACCGAGTGCAACCTGGCTTATAGGTTTCAAAATTTTGGTTGCACCATAAAATAATGTCACTGGTTCTAAAAAGTAACATAAATACTTGTTTAGCAATTTTAGCAACAAGTACTCAGTATCAGATGCATTCGACAGAACCTGATCCCAGGATGAATGTTTCTGTTTCAATTTTGCATTACCTTTATTTGAAAATCTCAAATATATGATTACTGCTACGCAAATGATTTATGAGTACAGAAATGTTTCTGCTCCTAACAAGTCATGCAGGGAAAAATGTATTACTTACAGTCACTCACTTCCCAATTAAAACACATTATCCCAGCTTTAATATGTTGCAGGATTTATTGCTACCTGCACCAGGTACAACCTGTTACTGAAGGTAACCTGCTGGTGCAGCCATTGTTAACATGCAGCAGTGCTGGTTGTAAATAGGGGGGGAAAACACCCCCCACCCCCCATTTGTCTCGAGACACACAATCATCCATTCTATCTATTTGTAGCTTTTCAGCACAGACACAAGTTCAGAGTTCATATAAGATGACACATGTTTTCATTCCTGCACATTGTTTTGTTGTAAAACATTAGACATGAGATTTATTATCACATATGGATTTTCAGGTTAGTGTGCCATGTTTTCTGGAGTATAATTATTCATCCCTCGACAGGGTGGAAATAACCAATTGCCTGACGTCTGAATCCAGTCATTCAGCAAATTTGTCCAGTTGACTGTCCGATGTTAATTATGTTGTTTATTTAAAAAATCAGCAAGAAAATGGTCGGTATACTGGAAAAAATATCAGGGCAAGTGACTTTACATGTGCCACCATACCGGAGTACACTATCAATTTTAAAGTTATTTCCACCCCTGCCTCTAGGAGATTCAGTAGTTTGGAGTATTATGGTCTTATGTAGTGAGTGAGTGAGTATGGTTTTACGCCACTTTTAGTAATATTCCAGCAATATCACAGCGGGGGACACAGAAATGTGCTTCACACTTTGTACCCATGTGGGGAATGAAAACAGGTCTGTGGTTTGTTAATAATCAAATCCTGACCTGCCAATCCAATTTTATTATTATAATTTATGATCCCCTACTTTGTTTAAAGAGTATATATATATGAGATGTAGAGGGGAGATGGGGTAGCCTAGTGGTTAAAATGTTCACTAGTCATGCTGAAGATGACCCAGGTTTGATTCCCCACATGGGTACATTGTGTGAAGCCCATTTCTGGTGTCATGTGCTGTGATATGGCAGGAATATTGGTAGAAGTAGCAATAGGCCCTACTCAGACCACACCTGGAGACTCCTAGTCCCTGTCGAAGGTTGAGTTGTACATTGAACTCTGACTAGAGTGTATTGACTGTTCAGATCTATTGATCACACATTCATTCAATCTAGTTCTCCAGCAGTATCCATGAACATTTCTATTTATCATTTTTCATTACAACATTGATGGTATTGTCACGAATGACAGATACATATTTGACTGACCTTGCAAGTGACCTGAACTAACAGTGTCAGTTGTCCAGCATCGAAGTATTGATGGCAAAACATTAATATTCAACATCAACAGCATGCTGTACAGTCAATTCTTTCAAAAAATTGTAATGATATTTGTCTACTTAGGTCTAATTCAACTCGTTTTACGCTTTTTTTTCGTGAAATAAATTCATTATTTAAACCAGGTCAAAGTTCCTCTAGGTCAAAGGTTAATCATATCACTCCTTCAACTTACACCATCGCCAGAGAAAGTAGTTCCCTTTTCAAACTACACACGTTTATTATGTGCACACAGACTAAATTTGACAATGATGAATAGATCATAGTATTATAGATAAAATGGACGGTATTATGATGAAACCGCCCTCTAGTTACAGAAATGAGCGGCCCGCTGATTCCTCAACTACGGGCCATTATCAGTTCTGTTGTCAAATGACGTCATAGCAGGTGACGTCACGCTCCATAATGACGTCATAAACCTTGTTTCATGATCTAACAGTGTTGGGTCAACAGCCCGTTGTGAGTAAGTTGTTAGAACTTAAAATTAAGTTTATGATACTGTTTTGTCTTTTTTAACACAAATTCCACTCATTTTAGCTGGATAGGGGAGTTAATTGACCAATGGCTTCTGCAAATGACAATGTCCTGCAAAACAGCGTTACCCCAATAGTGTAGGGATACATTCAAAGGTTTCGGTGAATCGGTTGTTTAACACTGTACATGGCAATAATCCAGCTATATGGTGTAAAAAATATTCAATTCTGGACCAGACAATCCAGTGATCAACAGCATGAACATCGATCCATGAAATAGGGATGTCAACCAAGTCAGTGAGCTTGACAAAAGACGATATCTTGTCAAATTAAGTTAGAAAATCTAAATTTTGATAAAGTAAATTTTCTCATCAGATACTGTAAACATACTTTTTTCGTTTGGTGCAAATTTCGCGGAATTGACAGTTTAGACTACATTGCGCGGTCAATTATTCGCGCAATTAGTAATTGCCGGAACTGCCAGCTGTCTCTTAGGCCGCCACTAATAGCAATGAAAACAACCAGAGTGGCTTAACCTGTCAGGCGGCGTGTATTACTTACTCACAGGAAATCCCAACCTGCGCGATATATACAGTAATACGTTTACTCATGGATGTATTAAGAACTTAGGAAGTGAGATAGCGTGATGGTACTAGTATACTATATAAAGAGATGAAAAACACATCAGTCTTATGTTCCGAATTCTGACAATCTGACGATGGCATTGCGAATGTGGTTAAAGAAAGCACCTACCCCATGACACCTGGACTTCCAGACTTTGTGATTTCATTTTGTGATATGCAGGAATAAATATAAATAAAATCTTAATGAATAAATAAAATACTGCTGTATTATTTCTTTCCGAGTCGTTTCATGGTAATCCGTTTTGTATCAAACCATCTGTCACTACGATTGGTCAAAATAGAACATGTCGGGACATGATTTGGGAAATCATGCGACAGTTAAGTATGATTCTTTATACTACTATCAGTCATAATTTTAAGATTCCCGTAGATTTCTGTCTTCAAACTTGATGTGTTATGGTAACAACTCAGAGGCGAGCGTGGGTAGAATGAATGAATGAAAGGTTTATTCGCTATGTATAAATTTTCGCGGTAAAATATTTTGTACGAAAATAAAACCTGCACGATATATAATACGTTTACAGTATAAGGTTGAGAACACTAGGATTATGTTTGTTTCCACCAACCAGTATCTGAATAGACTGAATGGGTAGTCTCAGTGCCTTCGTTGATTGAGTGTGCTCGTTATATCAATCACTGGATTGTCCTGTATCCAGGTTACTGTCTTATAGCTATACAGTTGCTGAGTTCTGCATTGTACAACATAGTCGCACATACTACTAGAGCCATACTTGACACACACAGGCAAACTGTTGGTGGCCATGTTGGAGTGTGATAGCTTCATTCCAATGCCGGGGTGATGGGGTAGCCAAGTGGTTAAACCTTTTGCTTATAACTACGAAGACCCGAGTTCGATTCCCCACATGGGTACAATGTGTGAAGCCCATTTCTGGTGTCCCTTGTCGTGATATTAGTGGAATATTGTTTAAAGCCACGTAAAACTAAACTCGCTCGCTGGCTCATTGGCTCACTCAATCACTCACTCACTCACCCCAATGTATGTGTCATCCCCCCCCTATATGTGAAACCAGTGAACTAAATAACCCTAAACTTACATAGCATGTAGCTATCACTGAACATATGTGTCCAACAGATGTCATGAAACTATATACACGTATTTGTCATCTTCAGGTAAAGGTGTTAATGATGTCTGGGAACATATTTTAAAGTCCATTAATAGCTAATAATCGGTCATCTATGTTTTCTAAATGTATGTTAATTTGGCTTAGTTTTAGTATTAGGCCAAATATTCATGTACTTTTTTTCTAGAAAATTAATTTTAACCCTGATTCAACAATTAATCGTTGTTCAAAAGTACTATTTATTTTCAGGAGTTCACTAAAATGATCTGTTGCAGAGTTGCCATTTGCCTCATGGTAAAAGTGGTAGTGTCACTTGTCATTCCTGAAATTTACTTGTCATGGACAAAGCAGACTTAGGGTACTTTCAAACGCTAATGATATTCGGTGTCAGTAAAGTGAAAGTGCTGTCATAGGTAACCGTAATGAAAGTTAAGTTTAAAATTTCACCCACCACTGGACATTTTCCTTGCACCATGTTTCATCATCCAATTAGGGGCGGTGGTGTAGTCTAGTGGTAAAGTGTTCGCTCTCCACACCGAGGTGTTCGATTCCCCACACTGGTACAATGTGTGAAGCCCATTTCTGGTGTCCTTCCAACGTGATATTGCTGGAATATTGCTAAAAGTGGCATAAAACTAAACTCACTCACTCATCCAATTATTTGGATGCATGAGGATCAGTGGTAAAATGTAAGTGTTCATATTTGGAAACTAACTTGGGCCAAAACAAAAATGGTTGAAGAAATATAACCTGCATATAGAATAGGCTGTTGGGTGGACAAGGGAAAACTTTCGCTATTCTTCTCCATTTGATGCTGGAGAAAATAGCAAAACATATTCAGACCGGCCCAGATTGTCCACAGACGCCAGGCCAGCATTTTGCAGTTTTGTGTCAATAACACATTGGCTGGACAAAGCTGAAATCTCTTCCTGTCCTCGCTGTTGAGGCGGGGAGATTTATGGCACTTCAAAAAGGGGTATCCCCTTTCTTTTGAGGGTCTACTTAAGAGGTACGTGACCCCTGGTGACCCCGACAAAGGCCTTTTATGGGAAAGACCTTGACCCTTTTTGAATGATATTTACATGTTCCCTGGTACTGCTTGACTGATGAATCTGATATTTTCATTCTTATTCATTCTGATGATGACATCTTGTTTAAATTGGTGGGCCTTTATTGCATGATGTCTATTGAATAAGTAGGTTTCATAAAAATGGTGGAGTAGCCTCGTGGTTAAAGTGTTCGCTCGTTATGCCAAAGACCCAGGGTTGATTCCCTACACGGGTACAATGTGTGAAGCCCATGTCTGGTGATATTGCTGGATTATTGCTAAAAGCAGTGTAAAACTAAACTCACTCACTCATACAGTTTCAACATTTTCTTTCTGCTATGTTAAACACCAGGATGTCAGTGTACAAAACACAACTATCGTAACTCTGTAATAAAGCGGGTGCTGTAGGGTAGCCTAGCCTTGTCATGCCGAAGAAATGGGTTCGATTCCCCTCAATGTACAATGTGAAAAGACAATTCTGGTGTCCCTAATCACGATATTGCTGAATTATTGCTAAATGCGGCGTAAAAACATACTCCCTCGTGTTAAGCACGAGAGTTACGATAACCTTAGTGCTTAGTTTTTGTACTATGGCACCCAGTTTTAGCATGAAGTGAGACATATGATAAGGGGCAGTAACAGGTGCTGCCATCTTAGCTTGGTCAAACTTATCTGTTGCACATGTGGACATGAGATATTGATGTAGAGGGGAGCCTTCGAACTACCCGATGATGTTACAGAAGTGACCCACGGAATCTCATTGTTTCCGGGAGGTTCTCAGTTTTCTTGGTATATATGACTCATCTGGGTGTCATCAGTTTTTCCTCCATGGCTAGACACTGACACATTCCTTGGAAACAAAATTACCAGTCTGATACATTTCAACAAAAAGGTTCCACATGGTCATCCGTCTGAGCAGTTTACGTACCCAGCATTGCGTAACTTCTGATATCACAGGAGTATTGCATGTTTACAGTGCATCACTAGTAGAGTTTTTGTTCTTGAGTTATGTGATATGGATTTGTGCAAAAAAAATTTCATGAATATTAACAAAAATTGATGACCTATTGCATTGAATGCGTAACAAATTTTTATGGAATATGTTCATCACCAGCAATATTTTCGTTGATTTGCATTCAAGTGATGCGATTTCTGAGGGATTCAGTTAGGTTTGTTGTTTTACGCTGCACTCAGCAATATTCCAGCTATATGGCGGCGGTCTGTAAATAATCAAGTCTGGACCTGACAATCCAGTGATCAACAGCATGAGCATCAGTCTACGCAATTGGAATACGATGACATGTGTCAACCAAGTCAGCGAGTCTGACCACCTGATCCTGTTAGTTGCCTGTTATGACAAGCATGGGTTACTGAAGATCAATTCTAGCCTGGATCTTCACGGATGTGATAGCTGAGGAATTCAGTTTGGAATCCTTCTGATAACAGTTCTCTCATCCTCCAAGACCAGATTCACTTCTGTGTTGAAAAACACTCAAACATTTTCATGTAAATGTGTACAATATTCTCAAAGGTGATAAAACATAATTTCCGGGTTCTCTGCCATAGGTACATTGCACAGTATGTAACAGCTTCACCACCACATCAAACAATTGATTTATTGCTACTAATTACCTCCACACGCTAAACATCACTAACCAAATACATACATCAAAGTTGGGGTCAAACGGTATACCACGGTATTAGTAGAACCGTCATATTTTGCCTTTGGTTCAGTATACCGTAATGCAATCCAAAAATGGGGTATTTTCGTTTTTGTACAGTCATTTTATTAATTTTTTTAAACATTTTTAAACATTTTCTAAAATGTCTAGAAATCAAATCATTTTGTCAGAATCGATATAGGTTTGGTTCTTGTCAATATTCTGCATTATGATAAAAAAAATGGGTATTTTCGTTTTTTGTACGGTCATTTTATTAACCTTTTAAACATTTTTAAACATTTTCTAAAATGTCTAGAAATCAAATCATTTTGTCAGAATCGATATAGGGTTGGCTTTTGTCAATATTCTGCATTATGATAAAAAAAAATTGGGTATTTTCGTTTTTTGTACGGTCATTTTATTAACCTTTTTAAACATTTTTAAACATTTTCTAAAATGTCTAGAAATCAAATCACTTTGTCAGAATCGATATAGGTTTGGCTTTTGTCAATATTCTGCATTATGATCATATATCACGTACCGAACCAAAACGAACCGAACCAAAGGCCTTGTATCACAATACGTACCTTACCGTGGTAAGAGCGGTTCACCCCTACATCAAAAGTGATGACAAACGCTGGTTGTGTCAGAACCACTGACGTGTGTGTTGTGTATTATCTGTATAAATCACAGAGCCTGTTCATGACAGCAGTAGTGGAATACTGAGTTCCATGTGAATGACAACACACAGTTTTAGGGTTAAACCATGTGACACTTACATAGAAGGGTCAGTTTCGAACAGGACAGCTGAACTGCAGTGTTGTCAAGCAAGACATTTTTTTTGTTTACTGAAGAGATGACAACAGATTATACATAAACTTTGACATTTTTTAGCGTGAGAATGACCTAGAATCAGTACAGGACTAACAATGTAACAGTATGGGGGGGTGGGGGTGTCCTGAGAGGATACGTAAGTCCCAAAACATTCAAAGTCTATTTAAATCTATCCACTCTTTTTAATCGTAGAATATGCGTCGTTTTAATGTATGGCTAGATGTGTCTAAATTGCTAACGGCTGAAGGGATGGTGTAAATCCAGCGAGGGTCCATGCAGGAAGCAAATGTACTGTAGTATGTCCCTAGTATGGTGATCTACCTTCACTTGTTGGCCATCTATAGCCTGTTTTTATGTTGTATTGTCGTCAATAGTTAAACTGTTTTAGATTTAATCACTAGTTTTAAATTCATATCTGTGATAATCTAGTTATTTTACTGTCCTTCGTTGACAGGTTTTTATAATTTACCATTAATTACTATGTATAACAATTAATTGTTCTCGTCACGATATGGCTGAAATATTGCCGATGTGATGATAAATTTTAACTCACTGAGGGGGTGGTGTTGTGAATTTTTTTGAAAACATTCTGTTGTAAATTTGAAGGGAGTGAGGATGAACACAGTTACACAAAATGGGGTCGGGGTGTATGTGTGTGGACGTAAACAAAACAATCCTAAGACAAAACCAACCACACTCTCTTTTGTCTGGTAACTTACTTGGTTGACAATGTTTTTCCCCTGGTATAGGCAACCTCGATAACAGAGGAGGTGAAGCAGTAATATACACGTTGGATGTACATAGATCATAAAATATTTAATATATATGTAATGCATATCAATTGTTTATGATGTACATGTGCGATATTGACATTAATATCCCGTCCCACATGTTGTCTTGGAATCCTGCCCCATTCTATACCTGTAGAGTGCTGTATGATTTGGTACATACTGATATCACTCCGTGATGCTGTAACTTAATATTGACCACTGTGCCGATGAAAATGAGACTGTATATTCAGATCAATGATTGGTTCCGGGATGTCATCTCAAATTCTGGAAGGTGCGGTTGGGTAGCATAGTGGTTAAAGCGTTCACTCGTCAAGCCAAGGACCCAGGTTCGATTCCTGACATAAGTACTATATGTAAAGCCCATTTCTAGTGTGCCCTGCTGTGGTATTGCTGGAATATTGCTAAAAACGGTGTAAAACTAAAACTCACTCACTTAAGTTCTGGAATAAGCCAGTCAGACATTCTCTTTCTCATGATGAACATATTTACTACACATTTATTCTTAAAGGACAAACTTCAAAAGGTGTAGATGTTGAATCGAAGAGGCTTGAATATGAAAGTTCAGCTTTGAAACGCCAGTACAATTTGCCTTGAAATTTGGAAGTTCAGTCTTGAAAAGAAGTTTGTTTGGTACTGATAAGGAAATCAGCTTTTAAGCTGAAGGTCTGACTTTTATCCTTGAAAAGGCTACAAAATGTGGTGGCTAAACGTCTATCACACTTGAAAACTTTTACAGCAAACATTTTATCAACGTTTTATGCAAGTATTTGTGAGTGTTTATTGCTGCTTCAGCAAAATTATGTGATGTAGCCCATAAATAGTCAAGTCCAGACCAGATAATCCACTGATTGATATTGTGAACAACGATATACATCTTGGGAATGTATCAACGGTGTCGGCCGGGGAAGCGAAATTTCAATATTCCCTATTCCCGTTAAAGCGAAAACCGAAGTTGTGCTAGAAGTGCCGTGAAAGCGAATTGCTATGAAAACATCGACTTACCGTACTGCAGGTATCGCGCGACCCCAATACTCGATCTGTGAGCCTTTAACTGAGATGAAGTTTCAGTTGTTTCAATTTTCAGCACATTCAGTGACCCTACTTAACTATAGTTTTATTAATTCATGTAA